ACTTTCCTTTATAAGATGGTACACAAAAAAACAGCTTGAAAAGGGAAGGAATGTGAACAAATGACTTCAAAAAGAAGTAACTCTTCTCGACATTAAGCTGTTATGTTTAGCAAAATTCTATTTTATTTTCTTACATGACACGCTTTTAAGCTTACACAACAGTTTAAAAAAGCTATTGCTGACAAGTGTACTGATTGCTAAGTGAATTGTGTCCTTGGTCTACTTTCTTACATGAAATTCTTCTGCTGTCGACTTTACAGAATATTTTAAAGGAAAAAAACTGTCCCTTCCTTAATCCCTTCCCTATGGCTGTGGGACAGCTTGATATGAGCATGACCTAGAAGAGCGATTGCATCAGCGTTCATTTTTACAAGCGTCTGAGTGTCAGTGTCTGGCCTGACCTGTTGACCTCTTCATTTTTTAGCAGGAGCTCTATAGATTTTCAGAGGACAAAACCCACGGTGTCAATAGTTTTCTGCATGGTGGTGGATCACGGGTCATGTTGTTTCACTGGGTTGGTCATTTTATCCCAAATTTCAGGGTTGTCCCACTGAGTTATGAGAGTTTCACAGTAAATATTTCATCACCTTATCCTTAAGGTAGGACTAGGATAATGTTTTGGACCACTGGCTGTTAACAAAGTTGGCAAACTTTTGTTGATTGCTGGACCCGTTTCATTGGCGTTAAGGAAATTTTCCGTGATTTCCAACAACAATGGTTCAGTGTTGTCTGGGTGCTCTATTCAAGCACATTTCTCGTTTGGGGTGCCATCGGCTGTGTTGAAACAAAAGGCTTTGATTTCCTTGTCAGTCCTCTCCATCGCCTTCTGAAGCACTCAAAGCATCCATAGAACAGGTCTTGCAGGCAGGATCATCATCAGTAGCGTTGCTGGGTTCAGAGCAGACATTTTAGCAACTGATTCATGGCAAGCATAGACTCGCCCATTCCACGGAGAGACTTGTTAAGATTTGCAAACAATGGAAACATGTTATCTCATGGGACTTCCCAGAAAGTAGTTTCACAGGAGGTCGACTCTTCGTTTAGGAGGGCCTCTAGCGCATCCAGTGGTGTTGATTTTTGAAGGCTCAGGTTTTTCGATCAACGGTCAAATGCCAAGCTCTTGTTCTGTGACAACTTTTTTTAATTCTTCACTCGATGATAGATCTCCTCTTCCAAATACATTTGCTGACGATTTGTTTGTCTTTTAAAGACTCTTTTAAGCATTAATTTTGGCTTCAAATGTTTCTTTAAAAACGTAATTAGCAATCTCGTCAAATGCCACCAAGCTTCTTCTTGGTAGAAATGCGCATGTGTGGATGTTTTGTTTGTGCAATTTGAATAAATTACGATTTTGACCCATAGGAGCCTGAGACGAATAATGATAAGAAGAAAAAGAAATAAGGGTGAATTTGTAGTGATTGCCTGCGTGGTGAAGTATTACCACATGTTAAATCTCAGCTTGGTTTAGATGTGGTGGGTAAATTGTCTGTTAACCATTAAACTTGGATAGAGATTCACTATATAGAAGGGATTTTTTCTAATGTAGATTTAGATTTTGAAAATCCTTATGAATAGTCAATCTACATCCAATTGGCCTGTTTTGTGTTATGTAAATAAGTTGACACAACATAGACTGTACCTTTCGCTATCTATCATTGCGAAGTCAAATGTGGCATTTTGCATTTTGCATGAGATGAGTGCAAATCACGAGACGAAGGGATCATGCAAAATGCCATGTTCGCCTTGCTTGGCTATAAAGTGCCGATTGTTCAGGCTACCACTCATCCAGCACGTAGTTCAACATTTCCTAATTGTAACGTCTCTGCAGCTGTGTTAATTCTTCTTCTGTCTGATGACACGTGCCACTGGGCAATGACTTTGACATACTGATACTCATTCTCATGACCTTTCTGTTGGAGAAACTCAGCCGTGTAGTATGAAAGCAGCCATTCAGCATCAACCACAGATTGCTACCTTCTTCCTGTGAGAGCTGTGTACGTTAAACTCGCATTGCTTCAACAAAAACCTCATAATGGAGGTCTATATTGTTGCCACTGCGAGTACAAGTGGCAATCCTCTTTAACACATGATTGTGTTCTTCACGTTCATTGTGGGGTACTGCCTTTGATGGGATCGACCTCCAGGACATACAGATGTTGGGTGAAGTCTGCTCCAAATTCCTCATAGCAGGATTTCCCATTGTATGGGGAAAATCATGTGTTGCAGCAATAGACCTTAGCAGTTCTGGCAAACTCTTGGGCGTGTCACGTTTGAATGGGCATGGTGTGTAGCCGTAAGGAACCAAAGTTCCACGTATATGGACAATGGCATCCTGAAGACTTATGTCATCTTGGAACTGAATATTGAGAAAATGATGTGGAATGGCATCAGGCAAGTAATTAAATAAATTTGTTTGATATATGGAATCTAGTTGAAAGACTAGTATTGCTTCTTGAGATACATTACCAATGTAGATGTTCTTCTTTGGTTTGAAATACAG